AAGCTTATCCTAAAAGCGTCCACTCCAATAGAGCCCGGGCAACTGGCCATTCGAGCTTTGGGAAAGATTGCAACACTTCGGCCCCACCATTTCGTTAAGAACCAATTAAGATCGATGCATGACTCATCCTTATAAAGTGTTTTAATTTGATTGCTTTGATGCATTTTCTTTCCACGGATTTGATTTTGGTCTTTGTCGTTTTCCCTCAAGCCAAAACCATAGTAAGCATGCAGATTCCTTTGTTTTCTGTTTTTGTATATATACATATAATATAATAATTCATCGACATATTGGAGTGTGGAGTTGGTGAATTAAAAAGGAATATCGATGACAGTCATCACAATAACTACCCGTCTTTGTAACTTGCTCGAAAAAGATAGGAAAAATTTATTAATAATAAATACAATGCAATTGTAAATAATTTTTATGATTTTATCGTTATTTAACTTAATAACAAGACATTTTTTTTATAAAAAAAATGAGTGCAATTTTTTTCAAAATGTTTTTTTTTTTTTTAAATCTGTTCGTATGAAAACCATTTCTTGGAGTACAATCAATCGCAATGCTGCAATTAAGTTATAACATTTTGGAACTCCTTAATAGGTTTGACTTAATATAACGTTATTATCTTAATTTCTTTAGAGATTAAGATTTATTATTATAATTATTTTAATCAGTGCAATTAATTAATTAGCTAATTTAATTCATTCAAGTACATAATAATTATTATATTAAATTTTGTATAAATCTAAGGTTAATACCAGTGACCATATTCATATGTTAGATTTGATCCCCGGGGGTTCCAGAAGCATAAAACCAGTGATTTAAGAATAAAATAACAAATTAGACAGTACTTTGAAATATCCTGCCGTCATTGGCATATTTAAAGATAACTTTATTCATATTGCTTTTCCTATAAAGCTACATAGTCTTTTACCAAATAAAAAAAAATCAAAATAAATCTATTTCATGCTTTTACCAGTAAAATGAAATTTGGTTACAGTCAATCCAAGGGCATCTACAAAAGAAAGCCAACTAAATGATTATTAGTACAAATTAAGGAAACAAATCTTTAATTCCAAGTGATGGAATATGGTTAGATCAAGTTGCCTCAAATCCATTAATACATCCATATAAATGTTATTTAATTCTTAATATGAGTTGAGTTAAAATTTTATTTTTAATAAAAATTGAATTTAATAAGAAGTATTAATTTTAATTATCTTAATAAAAAGTTTTCTCTCCTAAACTCTCTCTTGTTTAATCTTTTTATTTATCCATTTAAAACTCTTGGAGTATGAAAATTTGTGTACAAATTTTTAGTAGCCGTTCTATAAATTAAAAAGATAAAAAAAAAAGATGTTTAAAGAGTAATAAAAAAAATAAATAAAATTTTGTAGGTTTGTGAAATAAATATTGATAAATTTGGTTTTAAAAATTCTCGTAAATCTATTAATATTCTTACAATAAAAATTTAGGAAAAGTAGGAACATATTCATCAATTGCTACTTTCGTTAAAATTACCTAAAGTTATCTTAGCTGTCATTTCCATAATTTACAGGTCAATTTAATCTTTAAAACTGTTGACTTACATACGAAGTTGCATAGCAACTTCGTGATGAAAACTTGCTTTGTTCATGCATGATTTTCCTCTATATAAACCCCAGTTGCTCCTTTAGTTTTCGACCCACTCAACCATAGGAAAGTAAAATTATTAGATCATATCATCATCTTTATTTTCCTTATTCCTCCTTTCGCTCCTATCATCTCCAATGGCGCACCGTTTCACAAACACAATAATCCACAGTACTGTCAACATGTTTGCTATTGCTTTGCTCTTAATTTTTGCTTGTCAATCACTAGCTGTTGCAGCTCGGGTGGTGCCTCAAGATCATTCCCCTTTACCACCCATCGGTTGTAATGGAAAAGGATACACCCCTACACCTGGCTACTGTCCACCATCAAATTAAATGAACTTCTCTGCCCATCAGTACACTTCTAGGAGCTCAGAAGTATGAACTTCTCTGCCCATCAGTACACTATATATATATCATGTAGTATGATAAAAGATTTACATATTGTTGTGTAGTTCAAAATCTACATAAAGCAAAAAAAATATAAGATTAGCTTTCACATTAAGTTCAAGGAATAATGGCGTTGTGATCCAAGTTTGGATATATCTTTTAAGTTCAAATTGTAATATTTTTCTTTTATAAAAATTATATGGAACAAAGATGATTTCTTTTCACAGTATTGTTTGTCATGACTATTCACCATTATATCATATTGGAAATAATAGATAGTTATTTTTTTCAATGTTCAATTTGAAAAAGATTATCATGTGCCCTCCACCTCTCCATATCATGTGGTTAATTATAAGCTCAAAAAATCAAGGTATAATTCAGTAATCTTTTTATATCAAATTGATGATATTTTTACAGAATTCTACAAATATCAGGTATTACATTCATTCCTTTTCATATTGCATAAACGAAATATTTTTTACTTTAACCGTTAACTTTTATCCAAGAAGCAACCGAAATAAAATTATAGTGACAAATAATTGAAGTATGGTTACAAAATTTAGTTTTAAATCATAACATAACGTAAAAAATTCAATGGAATTAATTAAAAATCACTAATGTAAAAAAATGATGAAGATCAACTTTTTATTCTAATAGGACATTTCCTCTCTCTCTCTCTCTCTCTCTCTCTCTCTCTCTATTAGAATAAAAATTGATCCTCATCATTTTTTTACATTAATTAATGGTATTTAATTAATTAATATGATAACAACTATATATAGATAGATTTAATTGATGAGAACGAGTAATAATGAGTGGACTTTGAGATGCTCTATACTCAAATCATATTATTATAAATAAATGTAAATGCTTTCAACATGATTAATGAGGCAATCTTATATAAAATAGTCGCTTATTAAATGATTATACTTCTTAGTTCTTGCACCACTTATGTTTGAAAACATTTCTTTTGGATTTTTTAAGTTTAAAATATAACTTTATATACTTTTAATCTTATTTCTTTAAATAAAATATTTCATGATACATCCTCTAGTTTTTCTTAGATCAACAAAGTAACAGTAACAAGATGACATCAGGTGGCTTCTGATTGCAATCGGTCACAGGGATTTCAAGCAAAACTTCTCTTTTTCTTTTTTTTTTTTTTGGGACAATTGAAGCCTTTTGTTAATTTGAAGCGAAGTTGATTTTTAATTGAATTTCTTTGAAACAAGCATAGGAGATCAACATGAACATCAACCTTTACATGACCCTCAATCCCCATTTTTTTTCTCTGGTTCTTCGTTCTGCTTGCAATATTCTTCTCATTTATTTTGACAGATAGATTCATTGGCTTAGACGTCACCCATGACCTCGAAAGATCAATTCATTAGTTGTCGTTTTTCATAAAATAGAAGGATCAAAAGAGGATTTGTCAAAAAATTTCCTCCACAACAAGAGAAAGACATAAGAACATTAATAATTACTGAAACCAATTTAATTTTTCTGCTGCATCAGACGTAAGAAATGGAAAAGTGCAAATTAGACTTGGGATTAATTAATATTTGTTGAACATATAACTTTTCTTTCATTAAAAAAAGCAATAATAGACATGTATATATATTTTGTGATTGAAGGATTATAATTCAAAAATGGAATTCAATTACTCGTAAAACCCAATGAGAAAATTGAAAGAACGTGTTGAATATTGGAACATATCTCCGTCGAGTCAAAGGTAGGAGAGTTTTACCGTATATGACATGCAATCAAGAATCCAGGCATATATATCCAGTACTCACCCTGCACCACTGCTTACGCTTTATCCTTTTTCCTACCTTCTTATTTTGGTGATAAGCTCGGAATTAAACGGTCAAGTCACCCAAGTTTTACGATCAAATTGTTAACAACCCACGTTAAAACCAGATTCAACTGATCATAAAAATCTAAAGTACTTTTTCTTTTAGTCTCTAACTTTTGACTTCAATTAATTCCATGGTGTATATGCAGGAAATTATATAGTAACTTCGGAATCAGAGCTTGCTTGTTCATGATCAGAATTCTCTATTTAAACCCATGTTCCTCCTTTGTTTTCTATCACACAAGCCGTTGCAATTTATAGCATTTGTAGGAAATTAAGTAGTAAATACAATATCATCAGAATTCCTTGTTCCTTCAATCCTCTATTTTTCTCCTATATACAGGCACCAATGGCGGCGTACCTTTGCCCGAAGACAATAATCCACAGTGTGAAAGTGTTTGCTATTATTGCTTTGCTCTTAATTTTTGCCTGTCAAGCTGCTGTACTAGCTCGTGTGCTTCCTCAAGGTCATTCCCCAATACCACCTATGGGTTGTAATAAGGAAGGAAACATCCCCACTCCTGGCATGTGTTCGCCACCAAATTAAATGAACTTCTGCATGCATGCGCCCATGCCTCTCAAATAAAAGCTATATATCCAAAGATTGGCGCTGGCGGTGAGAAATTTGCAGGATGGTAGAGGGTTACATTCCATTGTGCAGTTAAAGGTTTATGTAGCAAAAAATAAATACATAGATAACAATTATATTCTAATTTATCTCAAAGAATAAAAGTATGGCGTGAAAGGTCGACTGACTTTTTATTTATAGAAATTTTAGGTTCAAGTTGTAATTTTAATTTCTTTTGACAAGAACATATGGAATAATGATTATTTCTTCTTCTGATCTCGTTAGTAGCATACATAGATACATATATATATATATATATATATTTCGGCATGCAGCTCGTTCAATTCAATTATTTTTTAAAAGAACAAAAAAGAAAAAAAATCAATAGTCACTTTGCTCAAAATCCGGCCTCATCCAGAGTAGGGACTAGGAGGTTTTGATTTTTGCGGCCCATGGGCCAGCAATAAAAGGGCCGCATAAATGAAAAGGAAAAAAGAAGTAATAAAACGAAACTTTGGTGCCTTCCCTTCCTCCATTGACATTGAGGCGTTTTCCTTGCTAAGCTGACAGTTTTTTCACGTGACAATGAGTGATTGAAACCATTTGATGGGACGCCCTTGTTTTTTCCTCCTTTCGCTGACGTGGCATCGCTAAATGCCGAAATGTTTAAGGGATAAGAATGAAATTTAATAAAATAAAATAAAATCATAAGGCTAAAAAAAAAAAAAAACCCTAACATTTTGAGGGATCTGAAATCTTTTGTCTTTCTCAGGTGAAACTGGGGAATCTTCAATCTCAATTTCCAGTTCAGACGCAGTATTTTTTCCACCTCAGGTAAGCCTTTTTTTTTTTTTTTCTCTTTCTTTGAATCCCTCTCCCCCTTTTTGGGTTCGTATTCACTATGCTTGTTTAGAATTACAGCCTTTGACTTCTTTGCATTAGCCTTTTGATTTGGTAAATGGGTAGGGTTCAAAATTTCACTATATTTTTTTATTTAATGGATTGAAGCGATTGTTTTTCAGCTTTAGTAGAAGCTGTTAATTTTGGGTATTGAATGTTCAGAATGATCTGCTAAATGGTTATATCTGGGATTTATGAAATTTGTTGAATTGCAGGTTAAAGCTTTGTAATTCAGCTGATAGATGTGGTTTTTGGGAAGTTTTAAAGTGCTCAAGTTGAGTGGGCACTGTTAAATTACTTCAGTGCACTGATTTATGGTTTAAGAATTTATAGGTTTTATAGCACAGTTGTGGGTACTCTGTTATAATTGGGGCTTTATTTTATAATTCTGGAAGGTAATAGAGAAATGGGTGAAATGTTTTGGTTGCACGAGGAAGATAAGGCCAAGGTGGAATCTGTTTTGGGTACTGAAGCCTGTGAGTTCTTGATATCATTGGCTTCTAAAAATGTGTTGTCAGAGTTGGTTACTCCTCCATTAAGTGATTTAAGTGTGCAGCAAAGGCTTTGCCAGATCGTAGATAGGTCAAATTGGAACTATGCAATTTTCTGGCAAGTGTCAAGCTTGAAATCTGGTGGATCAGTCTTGGTTTGGGGTGATGGGCATTGCCGGGATCCTAAGCTTGGTGGAGTTGGTGATACGAGTACCTCTGGGGATGGCAAATTGGAAGGGGTTGAGAGGAAAAATGAGGTGAAAAGGCTGGTGCTCCAGAAGCTGCATTCATGCTTTGGTGGGTCAGAGGAGGATAGCTATACTGCAAAGGTGAACGGAATATCAGATATGGAGGTGTTTTATCTCACTTCGATGTACTTTACATTTCATTGTGATGCATCATATGGTCCTGGAGAAGCCTACAAGTCTGGCAGATCAATTTGGACCTCAGATGTGAATAGTTGTTCGGACCATTATCAATCAAGATCATTTCTAGCAAGATCTGCTGGGTTGCAAACAGTGGTGTTCATACCTGTGAAGTCTGGAGTTGTAGAGCTTGGTTCCATCAATTTGATTCCTGAAGAGCAGAATATTTTGGAGATGGTGAGTCCTTTGTTTGGTGGATCCAGTTCTGTGCAGACAAAAACAATTCCGAAGATATTTGGTCGTGAACTAAGTTTGGGTGGTTCAAAGTCACGATCAATTAGTATTAACTTCTCTCCAAAAGTGGAGGATGAGTCAGGCTTCACATTGGAATCATACGATGTTCAAGCACTAGGTTCCAATCAAATTTATGGTAATTCTTCTAATGGATGTCGAAGTGATGATGGCGAAGCAAAGTTGTTCCCACATTTGCTTGTTGGAGGTTTGAATGCTCAAGCGAGAAATTCTGGTTCGGAGCAGACTAAGGATGACTCACCTTCTTTACCTGATGAGAGGAAACCAAGAAAGAGGGGAAGGAAGCCGGCCAATGGGAGAGAAGAACCATTGAATCATGTTGAAGCAGAGCGGCAGAGGCGTGAAAAGCTTAACCAGAGATTCTATGCATTAAGAGCTGTCGTCCCTAATATCTCTAAGATGGACAAGGCATCTCTGCTTGGTGATGCCATTACCTATATCACTGACCTCCAGATGAAGATTAGGACGTTGGAAACTGAAAAGGAGATGGTAAACAATACGCAAAAGCATTTGTCAGGACCTGATATAGATTTTCAGCTGAGGCCTGAAGATGCAGTTGTGACAATGCGCTGCCCCTTGGATGCCCATCCGGTCTCTAGAGTCTTAAAAGCTTTCAAGGAAAATCAAATTACTGCACATGAGTCTGATGTATCAACAACAGATAATGAAAAGGTTGTCCACACCTTCACCATTCGAGCCCCAGGTGGCGCTGCTGAACAATTAAAGGAGAAACTGGTGGACGCTTTTTCCAAGTGATAGTCAGGTAACAGTGTGTTGATAATGTACATCTAAGTTAATGCTGTGCACCGGCTTGTAGAAAGATGGGATTCTGTACTGACCAACAATAAGTGATTAGTATCTTTATGTCCATCGATGAAAATGATATGTACTCTTCACCTTTTTTAAATGAATTTGTTTTGTCGGATCTGTGGAGACAGTGAGTCCTGTCGCGATCTTTTGTTGAATTTTCTACCCAAAAAAAAAGAGAAAAACCACCAAAGTGAATGAATTAGATGCACAACATGAAAACTGAAAGCTTGTACCTCATGTTAAGACAATTTCCAACTAAAATTCGTGCGAGTTGTGGCATAACATCTGATCTTTCCCTCTGTCCGTCTGTGGGTTACAAGTTGCAACCTGTACGGCTGTGCCAGTTGTTACGCTTTATTTGTATTTCATACATGATTTTCTAACTCCCTTCCCGTATTGAGATTGGAATCAATTTTTCTATTTTTGAACAATTCTATTGTAAATAGCCAACAATGATAGCAGAAGCATAAGCTTGTAAAGGGTGTGTAGAGTTAAAACGTAAGGAGTTCACTACTCATCAAGAAAGTAGGTTAGCCCTTTCAAGTAGGCAGGGGTGGAGCCATCTCAAGCGCGAACCCGTGCCCACTTATGGTCGATAATTTTAAGGTGAAAAATCTTTCTGATTTTTCTGTGAACGGAAGCATTTTTTTCTTACCTCTGACGTTGGAACTTTTCACCGTTTAAAAAAAGTATGCTAATTTATTCAGGAATTCGGTTAAAAATATTTAAGTCAATCTGAAGTTTGGTCAAACGAAAACATGATCTTGCAGTCGTCTCTATAATCTAAATTCATCCCGTTGTTTGATTTTGAACTTTAGAATAAGATTTCTAATGTTGCAGTTAAATTTGAAGCTCATCCCAAGGTGGAAAATAAGCTTGCAACAGACAGACTACGACTCCAAGGCTAAAAAAGGTTTATTTTACAAAATTTTACTAGGTGATTTCAACTCCATTGGAGATAAAAATTCTATACTCTTGGCTGTATGGCTCAGCTGCATACATCTTTGTTCTTTATTCTTTGTCTCTACTTCCCCTTATGTATAGTTTTTTCACATTATATAATTTGTTGGGGTTGGCACAGATTGTCAAACCATGACCTTATTCATTTGGCAGCAATATAAACATGAATTGTCCACTTTCCCCACTTTTTATGACTGTTTATGGTTGAAGCTGCCGTGTTGTTGATCAGTTCTAACTCGTTTCAACCTTCAAACCACGGCTTAGTCCAATGCAGAAATTTCAGTAAAGCCTTTTTAGGCTGCAGTCAAACCACACCCATAGAATCAACAGAGAAGAGAACACCGCTATCTCTATATAAATGGTGAACCTCCTCGGCCAATGTCATCCAATTCAACATATCTTTTATTTTTCCTCTAACCACTCTGCTCAAAACTCTAATAAAAAAAGGAAGCAGAAAAAATCATATAGAAATTTTCCGTCCATTAAAAAAGGATGGCATTTTTCCTGTTCAGAACTTTATTGGTTTTGTCCCTTTTAGTAGCCTCGCTTCAACTTGGAACAATGAGGCCACTGGATGGGGAGCAATGGCTGGAAAATAATGAACTAGTGCTTCCATCACTCCAAAAGGGTCCTGTGACAGGGTCTGGTCACAATCCATGCACGAACATCCCTGGAAGAGAAACCGGCGTCTGCAAGCTGGGTGGCATGAACATAGCCGGTGATGTTATGCACGCTCCTCCAGCATTTCCCAGAATTGTTGCTGAGTTTGGGGTGGCTTCCACTGCCAAGGGGATACATGATCAACACAAGAGTTCTTAAAAGCTACAAGTTTAGCCATCCACAATTCAAAATAAATATCAATGTGATCATTTTTTTTTCTAGTTGTTCCCTATACCTGTAAATTCTTTTCTTTATTAATTCTTGCACCTCTTTTCAATCCCTTGGTATACACCCTGAATATCCTTTTATCCATCCCTTTAAATTTCCTGAACCTCTTTGTTTCTCAAAAGAAACAGTTTGTTTGATTCTCAGTTTGATCACCCAGCTGAATACACTGAATTTCAGAGACAAATTTGTGAAATGAATCACAAGTTTTCAAAGCAAAATTGGCCAGAGATCCAAGAGACGTTTGGTTGGGACTGGGAACCGATGTTTGTTGACATTTATTCAAGATACATAGTTGATTATTTTATTCAAAATGTTTTCTTTTTCTTTTTTTTTTCCTTTTTAATTTCAACGTTGAATGCTTAATTTACATGAAAAAAAAAAAAAGGGTGAAAGCAACACCAATTACTCTGAAAAAAGAATTTTATTTTAAGCCAAATAAATAGCTTTAATATCATGTTGAAAGGATCAACATCGACCCAATTTATACAATGGGGAGAGTGTCTCAAAACCAAGATAACAAATTACAACAGCTGGGGTTTGATCAAGTTGAATTAGAAGCCTCAAAACCGAAGAGTACCCTGTTTTGGCGAAAGTTTAAACTCAATTAGAGGGCAAAATTTTACAAGCTATAAAATTGTTGAAAGCTCTATCTAGTTTCAACTGCAAGTTGTGAGACATGATTCGGATTTTTTGCTTTGAAGAAGAGGAATAAGAAATAACTTTTCTCAAGAGAAAAGGTTTCCTGTTCAAAAACTAGTAGCAATTGCTTAGTTTGACCACGCTCTTGCACTTATAAAACGGTCTTTTTGAAATTTTCCGCACTTTTCTTAATGATTGCCCATTGGTTGTATTTCAGACCTTTTTGTTTGAAGGTTTAGAAACATTAATTTGGATTAAAAGTTTGTTTGCTTCAAAACAAACTTGGGTTGTTCCAAGAAAGAAAGCACTTTGAATCATTCATGCTCGTACGGTTGTACCTGCCTGGGAGCATTGATCAGGATTATGAATGAGATTGCAAAATCTAGCCATTAGCGATCTCCAGATTAATTCTTATCCGTTGCTGTAATCATGAAGGGTGGTGACTGGTGATTTCTACTCTTCTATCTCTTTTGGGAAGTACCCTTCGGCTAGTGAACTCCTTGGAACAGGATGTTTGTGTATTTTTGTTGGTTGTGCCTAATTCTTTCTCATATCAAGAGAAATGTGAAATCCCAAGCTTCAGTTTATATGCTTATCTTAACCAAATCGTTCCTACGTGGCAGATATTGGACTGTCATGTCAATTTTCAAGTGCTAACAGTCTAAAAATATATGAAGGGCAAGGCAAATAAATGAAGAAAAAATGTTCTCTCATTGCACAAGCGATCTTGTCTTAAGCAAAAACTTTTCACCACTAATAAGCGAAGACATGTTCCCTGCATAATCCCATTATTATTATTTCAATAGGCAGTCAAATTTCTAGATAGACCTTATCAGAAGAATTTTGCCATTAATTTGTTAATCAGTTTCTGAAAGAAGGTTTTGTGTCCTAGCAACCGCAGCAAAATGGGACATTCGATGCGTCTGCGATTATGGAGGAGCCTTAACATGCGCCTTGCAAAGGCCATTTGGATCATGCAAGGTGGACCGCCGCATCCAATGATGTATGTGCAGTGTGCATCCATTTGGCTCAAAATGATGGACTCTAGCCTTCGGACATCTATCTTCGTTCTCCACGTTGCTTCCTCTTTGTTCAGAACTCTGCTAGCCTCGTGGAGCTGCAAGCGTAGAAAGGGGAAAAAAAAAACCCACTGCCGCGAAAACAAGAAATAAATTTAGATGTCTCAATATGTCAGACAAAAAGAGGTGATTGATTAAGTTGGTTTCACTTTAGCACATAGGAAAAGAAGAATTCCATTTAAAAAAAAAAAAAAGTTTGCTGAAGTCCTTGACTCCTGACCAAGAGAAAAGAACTGGAAATAGTCAAATTATTCATAAAAAAATATATATTTATATATATTTGGTGCTTCATAAATTTTTACATAATTATTTAAAAAAATTAAAATTAAAATATATTAAAATAAAATAATAATGTGATGATTTATGATGCATTGATAATATATAATATAAAATTCGCCACATTTAATATTTTTATATTAAAATATATCAAATATAAAAATCCATAAATGCATATCGATTTTTTTTTTTTTCAGTTGCTTGCGTGTATTGACCACATGTTACATGTCATGACATTTTAACACTTTTTTTGAGCCGCATTTTTTGATTGGCAATAACCAATTCGGTATAGATTTCTGCTCATATCAATTAGCACTTTTTCTACGGTGTAGATCAAGTTTGAATTAATCGTCAAAAGTTTAGCATCCATCATTAAGTAGACTAAATGGAATGAACGACTGTAGGCGAGTAGACAAAATTACATATATATATATATATATATAACATTGTTATTTGCTGAATAAATCAATATGTTCTTAAAAAGACATTTTAGCCATTAAAATTTTATTAAAAGAGTTTAATTCGGAAGAGAAAGATCGAGATTTTCTCTGTTATGTATCTACTCTAAAGCCATAGACTTTCTGGTTCTTAATGTTACAGCAGGTGGTCTTGAAGCTTGTATCATGTGGTTTTTTTCTCTTCTCTGATCTTCCGTATTTATGATTTTAGTTACCTTGGCATGCGCTATACATTGATTTTGTCATAATTAAAAATATAAATGATATATTAATAATTATAAATTATTTAAATTAGAGTTTAATTTAAATAAAATTTAAATTTAACTCAATTATTATTAAATCAAACTCAAATAATTTATCGATCAAATCGAGTTTTAATATTTTTATACTTAATTCGAATAATTTATGAGTCTAATCAAATTTTAATATTTTAATATATTTTAATTAATAAAATATTTTAAATTTGAGTTTGATCATAAATAATTGAATTTTTATCGAATATAAAAATTAATTTTATTTTTATATATTAATCGAATTTAATGAAGTCAATTTGAATAGCTCAAATTTTATTTTTAGTCAAATTCAAATTAAAAAATTTAAATTCAAATCAAATTTCGAGTTTTAAATTTAAAATTAAATTTAAACTCAAATTTAATATTATATCGATCCAAAAAAAAAGATTGATTACATCACGTCAAGACCAAGTTGCTTTTACCAGTGACTTTTTGCAGTTTCAGTTATTGCCATTGTGCTTCGTCTCTTGAATCTTTGATGGACCGGCGCTTACTTTTGCTTTTGAGGCCTCTTTCAACGCCTGATTCTTTGGTCATTCCCACATCTATTCAAAGTGAAGCTTTAATTTATATCTACCAAATCACCCGGCAAAGACGGGCCATGACTCCAAAACTGCTACTTTGGGATAGTATGAGATCTTCCTAGGTAAAAGCTTCAGTCTCGTATTGGAATACATTGCCTACATATAAATGTTATTGTCGTTCAAGAATTGTTTTTCTTTTTAAAAAAAAAAAAGTTTCAACCATCAATTGATGATTCGAAAATAGCTTTATGTTATTTTATTTTTTTGAATAAATTGTAATTTTATTATCCAAGAAGCAGCAAATCATTGTTATCGTAAAAAAAATTTGTACAATTTGGTATCATTTCAAAAATAACTTGATTTTAAAATTAAATGTCATGGACCACTAACTCTCAACATCTGGTGAATTGGAACTGGATATGAAAGCAGGAGCATTGATATTTATGTCCCTTCATTATGCTACAAAAAAAAAATATATATATATATATATATATATATCTAGATGCCAAAGAAATGAAATAAAGGAAAAACATTTTATTGTTTTATTCACAGTTCATCTTGTGTATATCAAATGCTTTATAAGAAAAGAACACTGATTGGGAATTTTCCCATTATTTAATTTCATAGTATAATTACAGCTAAATTTATAAAGAACTTATTAATCAGTTGCTGCAACAAAAAGGGATTCATTTAAGAATAGCTGCCATACTGAATGGAACCGTTTTGTCCGGTTGCAGGCGCCTTGGAGGAGCCATAACATGGCCTGCGAAGGTCCTTTGGTTGATGCAAGGTGGGCCCCTGCGGCCAGGAATGTTGGTGCAGCCATTGTGTCCAGAAGGACTGACAGGTCCCTTTTGAAGAGACTGTAACACAAGAACATCTTCATTTAGAACCCGAGACGCCTGGCATAGACGGATGCCAACGAGAAAAATCACAGCTCCGGTGACAAGAAAAAGAAGAAGACACCTCATTTCAATGTAAATGGGACAAGTAAGATCGATGTAGCAGGCGTGAATATGAAGATCAGATTGTAAGGTAGGTGCCTATATATATATATATATATGTCGGTTTATAACAATTTGAACGACTAGAATTACATTTGACTCTTGACCTAAGTCTTAAGGGGGAAAAAAAGCATACAAATCGAATCAAATTAAGGATTTGAAAATTAAAAATGGAGGCATGTATTGTCAAGTAGGTGGCGTCGTGTAATTAGAAATCAGCAAAATCTTATTTGAAGCTAGTTGCTGAATCAAACATTAGTGTCAATTGCATGTGATTGGACTATGGACTTTGGCCTTGGGGGTTTTCTTGTTAGGCTTGTCTTTCTCTTTTGAAAAATCGATCCTGAAGCTGAGCATTCCCCGGTGGAGACACGTACACTTACTGATCGGGCCTTTAGATCAATCTCCGAATCTTTGGTCACGGGGGCTAGCGCCTATAATGCCTTTGGGAAGCTTTTAATGCACGAAATCACTTGGAAAACGAGAATTCAACGGTTAGGAAATGAGGACAACGATTTGCATGCAGCAACTTGTTGGAACTACTAATTCAGTGGATCTTTTAACTTTTGATATTGTGAACCCAAGATTAGAAATTGTATGCATGATGGGTCGTGAAGGAAAATATCATGAATTATAGAAGCTAGATTTACTAGTACTACTTACGGCTAACTATTTCTTCATCTTATAACGTGTTTTATACATATATATAAACAGCTATATATATATATATATATATATAGCTGTTTTTCTATATTCAGAAAAACAAAAAACAATAAAAGTATAATATCTTTTGTTTAAGTTATGAATAAATGTGTGTATATCATATTTCATTATTTTAAAAAATTATCTTGAAAAAGGTATATTAAAAATCGTAACAATAATTTTTGAAGAAAAAGACAACTAAACCTAGCAAACGTTTACCAATATCACCCAAACCAAATCGTAAGTTAGATAAAGAGAAAAAAAGTAGTTATATGATATTTCTTTTACTTTTTGGTCTTTTTTCCTTGATAAATTACAAAAGAATTCTTGTAAAATTGATGAAGTTTTTCT